GGGCGGGCTCTCCTGGCCCCTCCCGCAGCCATTCAAGAGAGAAATCCATGGGGCTGACGTCACGCCGCCACCAATTAGCCCCGAAAGGATGATGATGCGGGAAAAAAATTTTTTTTTTTCCTTCCTCCATCGCTTTCTCAGAGCGCCCGGGAATTAATTTGGCGTGGAGAGGAGAGCAGCCCGGAGCGGGGAACAAAAGAGGCTGGGGAGGGAAAAGGAAAGGCGGGGGGGGCTGCAGGACCTGACACCCGGCATCTGACAGCCCCACAGCCCCCCCCCAGGGTCCCACCACCTCGGCCAGCAGCAGCGGTGATGGGCACCGGTGCCCCCGCTGCCCTACGAGCAGGATGCCAGGAGCCATCCCAGCCAAACGCCACCTCCCTCCGTGTGTCCCCCTCCCCATCATTTCTCCCTGCCAGCCCCGCCCCGAGGGGGTGTGCGACCCTCCCCGGCCGGAAAATCACCCCCGAGAGCCGCTACAAGGAGGCGACGGGCAATGCCAAGGCAGGAGTTCCGTGGGACACCCCGAGAATTGCCCCCATAAACAACGTGAGATACAAAATTGGCAAAACTGGCTTTAACCAGCCCCCAAAATGCGGGTATATTATTTTTTTTTTTATTTTTTTATTTTTTTGCAAAATTGCGGGGATATTAGTTTTTTTTATTTTTTTTAAATTTTTTTTTTGCTGGCAGAGAAGATGCTCTAGGACCACTCTGACCGCAGCATCCCCACGCACGGCTGCGGGAAGAGGAGCCACATCCCCAGCCTTCCCACCCGAAACGGCCCCCCCCCACGCTGGTCCCCGGGGGTTGGGGACACCCAAGGTTGGGGGGGGACACCTGAGTTTGTCCCCGAGGCCACCGTCGCCGCTCAGCACCCAAAAAAAACAGGATTAGGAGCATCAACACCAACCTCCCTGCGCGGAGGAGCTGCCTCCCCCCAAATCTCTGTCCCCCAGGGTTAGGGGGGGGGATAACGGCACCGTTTTTAAACACAAGCAGCCCCTCTCGGCACTCGGAAATTCGGCTTCTCAGCGTCACCTTGGATCTGTGATGGAAATTTAACTTCTGCCTCTCACCCCGCACCGCCGTCTCCAGGACTGGTCCCAGTCAGACACACGCTTTTCTCAGAAGGAAATCCCCCATCCCATTTCCCTCTATTTGAAAAAAAATAATAACCCCTTCCCATTTTTCCCCATTAAAAAAAAAAATAATATATCCCCCATCCTATTTTTCCCCATTAAAAAGAAAAAATCATCCCTCTTCACATCTTTCCCTATTTAAAAAAAATAATTCCCCCATAAAAAAAATCCCAATCCCGTTTTTCCCATTAAAAAAAATCCCAATCCCATTTTTGCCCCTAAAAGAAAAAAATCCCCCATTCCATTCTTCCCCATTTAAAAAAAAATCCCAATCCCATTTTTCCCCATAAAAGAAAAAAAAAATCCCCCATAAAAAATAAATCCCATCCCCTTCTTTCCCCTAAAAACAAATAATCCCATCCCATTCTTTCCCCTAAAAACAAATAATCCCATCCCATTCTTTCCCCTAAAAACAAATAATCCCATCCCATTCTTTCCCCTAAAAATATATATATATCCCCCATCCTATTTTTCCCCATTAAAAACAAAGTATCATCCCTCGTCGCAACTTTCCCCATTTAAAAAAAAATAATTCCCCCATTAAAAAAATCCCAATCCCATTTTTGCCCCTAAAAGAAAAAAATCCCCCATTCCATTTTCCCCCATTTTAAAAAAAAATCCACCATCCCATTCTTCCTCATTAAAAAAAAAATAAATCCCAATCCCATTTTTCTCCATAAAAGGAAAAAAAAATCCCCCATAAAAAATAAATCCCATCCCATTCTTTCCCCTAAAAACAAATAATCCCATCCCATTCTTTCCCCTAAAAATATATATATATATCCCATCCTATTTTTCCCCATTAAAAACAAAGTATCATCCCTCGTCGCAACTTTCCCCATTTAAAAAAAAATAATTCCCCCATTAAAAAAATCCCAATCCCATTTTTGCCCCTAAAAGAAAAAAATCCCCCATCCCATTTTCCCCCATTTTAAAAAAAAATCCACCATCCCATTCTTCCTCATTAAAAAAAAAATAAATCCCAATCCCATTTTTCTCCATAAAAGGAAAAAAAAATCCCCCATAAAAAATAAATCCCATCCCATTCTTCCCCATTTAAAAAAAAATTAATCCCATCCCATTTTTTTTTCCCTAAAAACAAATAATCCCATCCCATTTTTTTTTTCCCTAAAAACAAATAATCCCATCCCATTTTTTTTCCCTAAAAACAAATAATCCCATCCCATTTTTTTTTTCCCTAAAAACAAATAATCCCATCCCATTTTTTTTTCCCTAAAAACAAATAATCCCATCCCATTTTTTTTTCCCCTAAAAACAAATAATCCCATCCCATTTTTTCCCCTAAAAACAAATAATAATCCAAAAACCAAGAGCATCCCTGACAGTTTGGCTCCACCAATCCAAAAGCCAAGAGCATCCCTGACAGTTTGGCTCCACCAGTGGGGAAACGATTTTCGATGGCCCAACACAGCCATGGTCTGTGTCACTGGGGTGTCCCTGTCCCCATCCCTCGCCCTCCCCACGGGTGAGAAATGCCTCCACACGCCCGGGCGGAGGGACGGGATTATTTAACAGATGGTTTGTTTAATCCCCGGCAGGAGCTCCTGCCACCTGCCTCTCCCGCGGGGAAGGGCGCCCGGCGCCTCCGGGAAATCCATCCCTAATCCCAGGGTGGGCTCAAGGCACCCAACATCACCCCACTGCCCCCCCAGAAACACCCCCAGGAGCCAGGCTGGCACACATGGCGGCATGCCCAGGTGATGGGCACCCACTTGTCCACAGCAAAATAACATTTTTTCCAGTGGGGAAACGATTTTCGATGGCCCAACACAGCCATGGTCTGTGTCACTGGGGTGTCCCTGTCCCCATCCCTCGCCCTCCCCACGGGTGAGAAATGCCTCCACACGCCCGGGCGGAGGGACGGGATTATTTAACAGATGGTTTGTTTAATCCCCGGCAGGAGCTCCTGCCACCTGCCTCGGCCGCGGGGAAGGGCGCCCGGCGCCTCCGGGAAATCCATCCCTAATCCCAGGGTGGGCTCAAGGCACCCAACATCACCCCACTGCCCCCCCAGAAACACCCCCAGGAGCCAGGCTGGCACACATGGCGGCATGCCCAGGTGATGGGCACCCACTTGTCCACAGCAAAATAACATTTTTCCACTAAATAACACATTTTTTTAGCCGCAGCCATCCCGCGCATCCCAAAAATGTGTCCAGCTGGGGTAGACCTGGCAGCCCGTCTCCCACAGCCCTCCTGGTTCTCCTCAGCAGAGCTTATATTCCTTAAAAAAAAAGCAAGAAGAGCTTTAACTTCCCCTGAAAACCCCCTCCCAGGCTGGGCAACGGAGAAATAATTAATATTCCCCAAATTCCTCCATTGCAGCGCTGAGTTACGGCCACCTCCACCATCAGCACAGGTGGGAAACTGGGGGGTTATCGCTACCCACAGCTTTGGTGGGCTCCACGGGATGTCTCCACCTTATGAAATAACTCCTTGCCTGTGGCAAGACCCAAAACTCATCTTCCTGAGGGCAAAATTAACCCTGTGCTAATGAGACAAGGAACATGCTCCCTGCCTGGGCTCTTCCCAAAGGCAGAGGGAGAACAGGCTGGTTGCTGGAGTGCACCCGTCTCCCCAAGGGAGGGTGATGTGTGGGTGAACCCCTCTCATTTCAAGGTGAAAAAAACCAAAAATGGTATTTATGGATTTCCAAAGGATTTCCAACCACCCCAGGTGGCACAGGGACATTTCCCAGCAAAAGGGCTGGAAACCTCAGGCCGCTCCTGGAGGATACGCGTTAGGAAGAGGCTGCGAGTCAACACCAACAGGGGAAGCTTTAAAGAAAAAAAAAATAAAAAAGCACAAAAAAAGGCAGAAAATGAGTCACTGACGCGCATTACTCATATCCCAGCAGAGTCATGCTTTAAGTCCATGTGACGGGCGCCAGGAGCCCAGCCCGGGTTGGGGACAGGGTGGCCCGGGGCGGGCGAGGAGCTCGGGGCGCAGCGCAGCCGGGGATTTGCTAAATAAAGCCCCAATCCTCCCTCCCTCAGCCCCGAGCAGGATCTGGCCCCCGCAAATCCCCCCCGGCATTAAGGGGCAGCCGGTGGATTGTTTACATCTCCCCATACGTGGCTCCACAACCCTTTCACTAAACCATAATTAAACCTTCCCTAAAAATAAGCGCAGCCCTTTGGCCGCCCTGGCGGGGAGGGCAGACCCCCCAGCAGCTCCCTTCACCACTCAGCACCAGGGGTTTCTCCCCCATCACCTGCAAAATAGACTTTCTAACCAAGTTCTACCATTTTTTCCCCTTTTAAAGCCACTTTCCCCCATGCTGGAAGGGCCAGTGCGCATCACCGGAGGCCGTAGATCCAGGGATGCAGGAGAAGGTGGATGTTTGTGCTTTGCTGTAGAACAGCTGAAGGCAAACCCAAACCCTCACACGAGCTGCTATTTGGGCTCTAATAAAGTGAGATTTTTACAAGGTTCCTTGTCTAAAAGGGTTGTCCCTGCTGGGGGAGGAGGCCAGGAGACACAGGGCCCCACCAGGAGCATCTTGCCCATCTCCAGCGAGCCCAGGAGGGTGGATCAGTCCATCAGCAGGGTCCTGAGCACCAAACAACCTTCCTGGAAACTCCACTGCCCATAAAGCTGAACCAAAAAATGTTGTGCCCTGAGATGTTTCTGGGCTCAACCATCCTATGT